AAATTTCTCAGTACACCGTATGGGAACGCCAAATCGTTGCGCTTGTTGATGTCTGTCTTCCATGCGTCTGTCGACTGCCCGATTCTGAGAACCAAAAGGTAATGAGACTGGGCGCGATGACTACCGTGCCGGGAAATCTGACGTCCAATGCGTGTCAATAAGCGTATATAGGACAGTAGCAATCGACTCACACGGGCACTACGCAGACTAAAAAATCATACCGCGGATTTTACGCAATTATATATTAGTGTCTGATGGACTTCGGCTCGAATATACTGAGCAAATTTTGATTTTCGTCTGGGATCCTTGATCTATCCCGAGTAAGAAAATTTAAAAGCTGGAGTTCACTTAGTTCAAACAGAGCTGCAGAGAAAATCGTTCCACTAATTTTGATTCTTATTTACGTCCCCACAGATTTCCTCTCAAAATGCATTTAATATTAAAGTTTTAGTGCCTGATGGGCTTTAACATTTCTATAACATCTGTTAGCCACCTGAACGGTTATTCCGGTGTTTCTGGGTTACCGATTGGCTGTCTTTTTGAGGCCACTGGTGGGTTTCCTAAAGCTGGTATCTTAATGCATTGTATAAATGCTCAGGTTGGTCCTTTAGCATGCAAAATCGGATGAATATTAGCCTAATGTCGTCCATAGTACTTAGAAATACAATGCGGAATAGGCGCACGCCGATGCAGTAAACCCGAAACTGCACTGTACCAAGATTCCGACAGTCTTCGTCGCCCCAACCGTCTTCTGCGCATACAGTTGCGATTGGCAGGGAAGCTATTCGTGGATTCGATTTCGATCGTCTGAATAAAGTGTTTATTTTAAAAAGAACTCCAAGATGGGTGCCCGTGTAGGGGTTAGAATAGGGTTGGTTGTTGGCAGCATTTCTTTTTCATCATCATTCACACTTCAAGCGCAGGCTCACGCAATTTGGGGTCTTGGCTACCTCATAGTATTTTTCCGAGGTGATAAGAGTTTTTCAGGAGTTGTCTGTTCTTAACCTGTGCGTTTTGTTGACAATTTTCTTAAGCTGAGCGATAAAAACAGTTATGGAGGTGTTGTAAATTGAATTTATTTTTGTGCACGTTTAAATGTTTCCCGTATTTCCTCGTGCCTTCAGCCTGCCCAGTAAAATTATTTAAAACGCTACAGAACAAGTCACGAGGCAGTATATTTGATGCCAAAAACCGTTGGTTTTGTACACTTGAATATCTCTGGAAAGTAGTTTTATAGAAATACACACATTCTTGGGTTGTGTTGGGGATTTTAAAGCAAAAAGGGTTAATTTTTTGTAGCAAATATTTTGAATAGGGGTGATTAAAATACGTTTATCGGTTCAACATCTTTTTCTTCGACTTCAACTACAAGTCCATGCTCTTCTTGACCATACGGCACCTGCTCCAGATGATAAGGATCATAGCCTTGTCCATCGTCCTTGCTAAGAATGTCAATGTGGCATTTCACCAGAATGATGTTCAAAATAAGCAGGACGACTACGAGGACCAACCACTAAAATAACAAATATATGAAGGTCAGAAAAGAAGATATATATTGTTAGGCTGGTACACAATATAGCCGTCCAGCTTGATATTTTATGCTACTTAAAATCAGTTTTCAAATATCGCAGTTTTAAACAACCATGCACAGAACCATATGCCGCACAAAGAAAGTTGAGGCCTGTACAGAGACTACTAAAATGTCTTTTGATGTAAACTATGAGATTCTTAGTGATGAGGGTCCTGCTCTGCGGTCAGTAAGACCATTCAATTTAGAAAAAATGAAAGAATTCTGCGCTTTAATGTTTATGTATCTGGGTAACAGCCTTTTTACGCTCGAAGCATAAATATTTTTTTCGTACCCTACCTCAATAATTGTTAAGAAGAAGGAAGTTGGACCAAGACTATTCCAGTCTGGACCGTTCAGAAGACCAACAGCCCACCAAATTATGAATATGGCCGCCAGGATTGGGATGAGAAATCTGAAACGATGGAAGATTTTAGGATAAGGGAGATGTTCACTGCTCATTAATTCAAAATTAGAGAATGGGTGGGGTGAGGTGGCGCATACTTACACAATCAAGAATGTCCAAATAGGGTAAAGTTTCCAGTCTCCAATGCCGAATTCGTTGACAATTTTTCTTCTATAGCGTTCAGTACCATAGTACATTGGCATGACACAATACAACAGGCCAGAAATAATGAGTGCAAAGCCCCAGACAAAATCCTATTTATAGGAAAAAACAGATTAAGTCCTCAGATATCGAAGGGAATCAATTCCAAAGTCCCTAGCAAAATTTAAATGCATACGAAGTGATATGTATGCATATAATAAAGCCACGTACGGCTGTAAACTCTTTTATATACACCTTAAATTATAATAAAGGCTTCACATTCATTTATAAACTTTACTTATGTCTTCAACGCTCTTAGACACTGTACTATACACTCTTACTATATGTAAGAACATGATTTAAATGAAAAACTAAGGGGATAATACAGTACAAATTCAAAATTTATTAATTGATACCATAAAAAGAACAAGGATTATGAATTAACTATGAAGTATCGATGAGAATGAGATAAATATAGTACACAGGCACGAAGAGGAGTATTCGACCTCGTCTTCAGGTACCTCTCAATAGGATAGATTCGCTATTTTTTTAAAGTGTTCGTTCTTCTATGTGTAAGTATCTTAACTTCTTGATTTTGTTTTGAATATTATTTGAATATGTCTTATTCCAATTTATCTTTAAATAAATGCATTTTAATTCCTTAAAATCAAAAGAATCTTATTTGAAAAAAGATAGGTATATTGACTCTACAGGGTGTATTCTAGGAGAAATCCACGGAATATAAATTCCGCTAAAAGCAAGCCGCGAAGTGGCCATTGATTGCTGTTCAACAATGGTTCTGTAACTAGCAGCGCAATCTCCCTATCCCTTACAAGTTGGCAAAGCTTAAAATATTTAAACCCACGCCTTCACTAAAGCATAAGCGACTTACCTGATTTGTAAGGTAGGTTATATTGAGGGCGGCCGGTACGCCAAGCAGGAATGTGATTACTACAGCAATTGTCGTTGCAATGTAATGACCAACTAAAAAAATAAACGTATAATTATTTACCAGTGAGTTGGAAACTGGTGAGTGTTTAGTCGATCGCTGTCAGTTAAAAACGCATAGGGCTAAATTAAAGCGCATCTTCGATCACCATAGAAAATTGAGTTTTCAGTAATTCCGGGCTTTCCTCTGCTCCTGCTATTTCTCCACTGTGATAGTGATCTTTTACCACGTCGTCTTTCAGACGGAGATAAATAAAAACGTGAAATGTTAACCCCCTGTATGGTTATAATATCCTATGCATATAAAAAAGCACAGCGTGCGTTTATTGGGGAATTTATATAGATTTTGAGTAGTATACGATGCAGCATACCTCCACAGTTTTTCAATGTGACAGTTGTGAGCTGAACATTGGAAATTTGTGTGGTCAAACCAGCGAAAGATAGACAAATGAAGAACAGCCCACATAGTACACGACCTGCGATGCCCATAGTTTGGTACAAAACTGGGATCCTACAAATGAAAGTTACGCAGAGTTTAGTTACGTAAGAATACATATCTTAGAAATAAACAATGTCCGAATAAAGCTATATATTTTTCCGGGATTTCCGAAAATGGCCTATGTTACATTAACCACAAACAAATTAGATAATGGATGTAAGGCATGTAAACATATTTATAAACTAACCATGTAAACGTGAGACCAGTGCTGCCAGGACCACTATCCTTCATCAGGTTCTGAATAGCCGTTATAGTGAGCGTAGGTCGAGTAGAAATCATCGTAGCGAAGACTGTGCTGAATATGGACATTGCACAGATTAGGCTGCAAAAGAGACATAAATCAAAACCACCGAGTTAAAATGGAAAATAAGTAACAAGTTCACCAAGGATAAAGACACACTACAATTCAGTGTCATTTTTCACGGCGGTATTTTTTTTCCTCTAAATATATCTCTGCTGGTCTTTAGATTTTTTTACCTTATTAACACGGCTTCAGAAGGTGGGCTGCATCTAATAGTAACATTTTCTGCTGGCAGCACCATAATTTAGAGCACAACGACGTGTCGATTTTTGTGAAGAAGCATGTTGTATCATATCTACTTTCCGGCAGACCGTCTTTTGTGTACACTTCGTGTTCTATAGACGTAAGAAAAGCCGTAATTGACCATAGAAACAACAAATTCCCTCACTGCTACTAAGAATAACGTCAGCTCTGAATAAATAATCGATAAGAAAGTATGAATTGGTTCCAAAACCAACCTGACAAGGTTATTAATAATGGGTAGGGTGACAGCGTAAATGACGGAAGCATCACTTCGTTTAAAATAGGCAGAATAGACGGCGTAGTGTCCTAATCCCGCGCCCGTATCAAATGCGTTTTGTATGAATGCCTGTATCCATAACTCTGCGCTTCCAAGGCTGGCTAAAAGATGTAAAACGTAAAGTATATTTATACGCTTTTTGTTCAGATCAATATACTCTACGAGCAACAGAAGAAGAAAGTATTGCAGGCGGCGTGATCAAAATCAAATGCTTTGGGTAACGTGCGCAGCACGGTATTTCCCGCACTTACACCAAGCTGGTGTGAAGAGGTACTGAAGTCCGACGTCAGCGTACTGTAGAGACAAGGCCCACCCAAAAGTGATCAGAATAATGATTGCCAAAAGCGTGACCAGAGTGGTGTTAACTTTCTCAATCCATTTCAATCCACCGAAGACGCAGATTGTGACAAGCACGAGCGAGATCGTGTGGCAAAGTACAGGATAGTTGGACTCCTAAAAGTTAGTCATTAAACTGGGGCTTAGAAACCAAGCTGCATTTTAAAATCGAAAAAGTTTTTAAAATATTTCTGTCATGGTTGCAGAAGAAAGAAGACCATGAGGAATGTACCTGAGTAAAAGAATTGAAAACGCCGATGCTTTCTGTTTCGTTTTTCGGAAGTTCCGGAGTCGCACATGCATAGTAAACGTAGTAGAGACACCAACCGACGATGACATTGTAATAGCAACTAGATATAACAAGCGTAGAACAGTGTGAGAGAAATTCGCGTTCCAGGATAGTAGTTGTATTTTCCGGCTTTTTAAAACTCTTGTTTCATTTTAACGTCAGAGAAATAACTGCCCACGTCGGTCAGTCAAACCTGAGGCTAGTATTTGAGGCATAAACTGTTATTTCAACCGAAAGCCAGCTTCAGATGAACAACATCCTAATCTTACAGCATATGTAGGCCATCAATGTACATTCTATTATTAAACTGATATTTTTCGGCTTAAAATGATTAGCAATGACAGATACTAGCATTCTATCGCCTGCATTAACTCGAGCCAGATTGCGAACACTCCATTTTTGATATAAATATGGATAAAGTCAGACAATATACCTGATCAGAAAGGGAACAAATACTGTCCAGCCACCGATGAACGCCAGCTTCTGACCGAAGAATTTGGAAAAGCTTATAAGAGGACCGGACTTAGTGAAACGACCAACAGTAAATTCGATGATGATGATGGGTATTGACCACAAGAATAGGGAAAATATCCAGACGATGAGGAAGGCAAGAGATCCTAGAATGAATACAAAATAGGACCAAATTCATTATTTCCGTTCGTAGGAAATGCCAAGTCTTCAAACTTTTCGGATGCTTTTATCGCTAAAACGTCCAATTATTCTCAGGTTGTAAGCTAAGCATTTGTTTGCGTGAAGTTTCTCCGCCCTGAGCTTTTGAGTAAATTTCCAAAGTGTAAAATTGCCGATAAATTCTTTCAAAACAGTCTGAGCTTTAGTCACCAAAACTCTCACAGAAATCGATGGTTTAACACTTATTTCCAATTCTAGACACTTAACGAACTACAGAAAATTACGGAGCTTTTGTTACTCAAAAGACTGACTACCTTTCTTACCCCAATAAACCCTTTACACTCTTTTGTAAATTTAACTGATCTGTCTAACATACTAAATACTGTATATTACTCTCTTCAATTTGTGTGAGAAAATGATGAAAGTAAAAACCAAAAAAGATAGTACGGTACAAACTACAAAACTGCTTATGAGTATACACAACTCAATAATGATTTTGAATTACTTGGGCAGTACTGATGATGACTAGCAGAGTGATACTAATACTAATGTACTCTATAGGCAGGAAGAGCATTATTCCAGTTCTTATAACAGTGCCTCTTGAGGCACTATGTGGTCTTAGTATACGCTCAGTATTTTACTTATAGTTAATTTTCTTTTAATATTTTTAAATTAAAATTTTTTATGTAACAGCATTTTTGGGTTAAAGGGGGATTATTTCAAAAATAAAAATATTTAAAGTCTCAATTACGCCAACTATCAAAAGGCAGAAAGAAATGTTAAAAAACGTCAGTTTCTTCTTGTATGAACAACAAATCACGGACGGATGTGTAGTGTGCATAGTAGAAAAGCACATACCCTCGTCAAAACTGTTTTGGGCCACAATACGCGGGAACCGCCAGATATTACCGGAACCAACGACAGAGCCGACACAGGAGAAGAAAATTCCAAGGGCGCTTGAAAATTCAGTACCGCCGGCATCCTCCTTGGGGCTTTCTTCAACTTCTGTCCCAGTGTATGAGGATTTATCTGACATACTGCTTTTGCTCTGGAGTTCAATTGGCTAAAACAGAAAATAAACATTTAAAAAAGCTTTACAAAATACATGCATTTAAACACAAGACGGATTTTATGAAAGCCCCTGTGTTCTAGAATAAATATTTAAATTTTTCTGTGTGTGAAATGAAAAAAGGCTTGTTTATTATGCATATTGCCGGACAGGTGGCCCAGATTGAAAGCAAAAAAATAGACACGGCTACAAGTACATAACTGGTAGCTCAGATAGCATGCTTTTCTGTTTTTCATGAATTTGCATCCGAGAAAGTTTTAACTTAACATTTGGCTTTTACTTTAATACTATCAGAGAGAGTCAGATCAAAAGATATTTTATAAATTGTTCCTGAGGTGAAGCAGCTGACTATCTTACTCGAATGCAGCAAACAAGCACAAGTTGCGAACTTACCTTTTCAGTTTCGTATTCATCGTCAGCTTTAACTTCTGTTTCATTAATACCGAAGGTCGATCGAGGGGTACAGCCCAGCATGATGTATTTGTAGATGTCCTTAATCACTGGAGTCCTGCCATACCACTTAGTATTGTTTAGCGGAAACGGGTTAGGTTCATTGGAAACGGACGACATGATTAGTTTTCTTCTTTACTTGGTCGATTTCCTGAGATAAACAATGATATGCTTTATGTTCTTGGTAAAATATTACCCAGAAACTAAAACAAGCAAGTACCTCTCTACCTTTTTAAATAAGATTTTGCCTCTAGACACAGCTCACAACCGATTGGCTGATTCAAGTGGAGTCAAACAAAGTGGCACTTAATTGCCAAAAATCTTATTTCGAAAATCGACTGCTCTCATTGGTTTGCGTTAGACGTTTGTTTGTGGTGAGCACGCATCAATGACTCCAAAGAAACATTCTCATAAGGTCCACCAACTCTAAATTATCGATAATGGTGGCATCTGAGCAACACAAACATCAACATCTGATTAGCGTTTTTGAGTTTTTGCATAATTTTTGAAATCCAAATAGTGTATAGGGTCTGTCAGGAAAAGCACCAGATTTTCGGGAGCCATGCCGTAAAAATCTTCTTAGTGAAAAGGGTCCATTATTTGAAAGAAGTTATTGTTTTGGGCTTAAATATGGGATGGCAAGCGTACCTTCTATGGCCTGACCCACGAGATCCGCAGACGAGTTTTTCGTGCATGAGCTTTTTAATTTCTCCAGACATTAGTTCTAAACAGATCGGAATATTCAAGAGTCTGCAGGTGTAGACCTTAATTTGATATCAATAGGTGAGCCGAAGTCCACCAGCTACTGCAGGACTTTCACGTAATATCCGCAAGCTATAATCGGACAGCCAGTGATATAACCTACTTAATAGCTAATCATACTGACAGCACAGGTACTGGCCAACAGCTTGGAAAAGTATTTCGCTGATATTCTGCCACTGCGAGGATGTGATTTATAAGTAGGTTCCACAGTGTTCTCCATGTGATTTTTGTAAGGTACTCAAGTTTTGGACTTCCAGCCTTATAAATTTCTTAGAAATTAATTTCTAACTCAGTATATTTCAGTTTCTGTTGGCGGTTTGGATTTCTGTTAACTGTAGCGCTTTCGTTTAGGGGAGGGCTAGGAGTAAGATTAAGGTTGCAGTTTAGATTTATTGTAGAGGTAAGACATGGTACTATTTAATATCACTGAATACTTTTGTAAGGCCACGTTTCTTCGAGGGTGCATTAATGCATTATTAAAAGGAAGCCGGCAGTTACTCATCGGTGTTTTAAGGCGTTTCCAGGCAATCCGCGGTGGAATAATACTCACATTTAAGCACGGATTCCCAGCCTTTAAATTGAAATATTCAGATTTAAGCCTAGTTTAATGGCACGCGCTATCACTACATTTCACTCTGCCGCTGCAGCCATTTTTTAAACAGAAACTATAGAAACATAGTATCCACCGTTAAACAGCGCACTTTTGTGGACTGCGCAAGTATAATATTTCCATAGGCCGTTGTAGAGAAATTGATTCTGCCCATTGGACCGTGCAAACTAGCTCACATGTTGTTCTGTGTTTGTGCGTATTCAGGATTTTGATACGTTTTTCAACCGCACTTTAACGGATAAGTAACTTCGGCTCACGTGCAGTCATAATAGGAAAAACTGCTGCGATTTTTGGACAGCTCAGCTTGGGTGCTTTTATTCGAATCATTCAGTTTGCCTATGTATACCTATGGCTTTATATACATCCTGCGTATGGATGACTTGCATGGCCACCTATACAGGATACTGAATAGGAACAACCCAAAATAAATTTGGCGTGGAGCCAAGTGCCGCGGAAAAAGAGTTTAGGATTCAAGTGATAGTTAGGGTTCAGGGTTAGGCTCAATGTTGGAGTTACGGTGAGAGGTGAGAGTAGCGTCACGACTGTGTTAGGCATTAATGGTCCTTTTCGTGTCAAGTGTACGTTTGACGTCTAGGATGTAGTTATGATAAAGATTAAGGTTGCAGTGATGTTTCGTGTTAGCGTTAGGACACGACAATATTTACCCAGTCCTAAGGTGTATCGCGGCGCCGCCTTTTTAAATGGGCAGTACGGTTTCTATTTCCATGACCTATTAGGGCTGCCATATAAGTATCTTTACTATATCCTGCACACAACAGTACCTTAAATGTTCATATTCTTCACGGACTGCAGTAACGGCCTGTTGACTGAAGACGTTCGCAAAAAGTGACCAAAACCATTTTGGCTAAGCAAATTTTACTGGTTTGCAGTGTTGAACTCCGAAGTGTCGCATAAAATGTTTTTTTAGGTGAGAAGGAAGCCACGGAAATGGAAATTCCTGGAATCAAGGGCCTTGTGCTGCATTCAAAGGAAATGTTGGTTAGGGTGGAAATAAGAGACAACGGAGGGTCCGGGTACGTTAATTATTCTTTTATAATACATTGAAAAACTAATGGCTGTCTACAATTAAATCAGGTTGATCTATGCTAACTAGGCTCAGTCAGACAGTTGATATGAATATTTGCGCCATTGTCCGTAACATAACCACGTATTATTGATAAATTGCTGTCAAATTTCCTATCTGATTAAAACTGTCGGATTTAAAAGACAATTCCTATTCGCGTAATCAGCCCAGGTTGCCTTCCAAAAAGATTTAAAAAAGTAAAGAGAACGATTGTTCTTACAAAGAAGGCATATTGCGGTATATTAATTAATATGACTTGTTTAGAAATAACGTATTTTTAGAAACGTGGAATATTCTGAAAAAAAATATCGGGTCTATTAAATATACTTAATTTTTAAATTTAGCGAAGGCATGTTAATGCAAAAAACGTAGTGAATAAAGCAGCACAAGTAAAATTACTTTCGAAAACGGCTATCTTGTGGATTTTTAGCGGATACTTTGTTCCATATTACACGCAATATAAATACTACCGCTACCAAACAACACAAATTTCCTGTATGTATTTTAACATTATTTCACGCGAACTACCTGTTTATGTTACCATTTATACATGATTAGAGATAGGTTGGACCAAGACAAAACGATTTTCGCTGGACTACGTCAATTAGGACGTCAGAGGAGAAAGATACTTCATTAGCTCACAAGTGGACATATCGGCCGATGACTGATAAACTTAAATGGAATTGTCAGATGCAATTGTAAACGCAACACTTTGTGTATATTAAGGGAGAGTTTCTTTTGTCCCATTTATTTGCACGTATTTCTGCTGTTCGATCACAACCATATTTAGCTCCTCCTTGAAATAGTAATGAACATTTTACGATTGTCAGTATTTTTGGCGGATTTACCATAAATGGGATTATGCTCTGTAGATAGAGAAGTAGAAGGCGTTGCGATCACCGGAATCATACTTTTACTG